TGAGACTTTAAAGGACACATAATACCTCTAATCTATTCAACACAGAATCAACATGTCACACTTCTGACTTCTCTAGAGTCTCAAATATAAAGTCAGGTAATGGGCTTAGTGACAATGATCAAATTACATTTGAATTTTTGGGGAATAAGGCTCAGATTTGTCCCCCTGGGTGGCAGACAGCTATTGCAGCGATGAATACAGATAGGCATCATATATAGAGGTGGTGTTTTTGATTTTCAGATTTGTGACCTCACATCAGAGTATGGAGAGAAGTGTCACCAAACCTGATGGGAAGGGATTCCTTCTCACTGAGCAACATATGGGAAGACGCATAGGGAGACTGCAGATGGAGTAGAGATAAATCACCTAAATGCTTTGAGAGGCTGGGTAAATGAGGATCTTGAGGTCTGCCTAATATTTCAATTTCCTATAAATTATGATAATTTGACTTGTTTTCTCTGAGGAATATTGTTTACAATAGTTATGGATATCCAAATGGAAGGTAGTAGATTTGTGTTATTTATTTTAATTAAATATTTCATTGAGTTAATATTGGCTTCCATCATTACTTTTCTTTTTCTTATTTTTTGCATCATTCTTCATTCTGTGCATTTTTTTCATCTTGGTTGAAATCCACATGGACTTCCCACTACTAATCTATGTTATTTAAATGGAAAACAACACTGCTGTTTTGGAAGTATGGTTGTGTCACTGTTCACTTAAGAGTTTTATTTTTCTTTCTGTCTGAAGATGTCAGATGAACACACTTCTGTGATCCCTTGCCTTTGTTTCTATTTTATACACTTAATCTGACAGTTTTGACATTTTGCTATGGGGTCAGAATTGTGTTGGGCCAAGTATCAAAAGGTGTTTTTCCTGTGGTATTATGTTATTTTGATTTTCCTCTTACCATTCTGGTACTTCCTTCTCAGTATCTTCAGTGGCTTTTTCACTCTAAGGAAGGTTCTTGGCTACCAATTTACTTCCAGTTTGCTTTCAGATTACATGCTTAGTCATAGTCTGACTTCCTCAAACTCTTGAACAAGTCTATTCCTATATCATTTTCTATATATTTTCAAATGTAACCTTAAATGTCTCTTTAGAGAAAGTGTGACTAGACTACATCCCTCTGCAGTTCTTTTCTAGAACAATTTAGAATTATAAATTGAGAAAATTATGTATTTTAAAAATCTCTCCCACTAATTTTTCAATAGGGAAATTTCTAATTTATTAGTCCATTACCAGTGCATTAGGAGCTCAGTTTATTTGTTGAATGGATAAGTGAATACTTCTATAGTGTTTCCATATTTCTATAGTCTGGTGATCTGAAAGATTCAGGGGTCTTTGAAACAAAACAAAGGTACACGTAGAACCAGACCTAGCAGAACTCTGCAGAATTGAGGCTGCCAGAGCAGGAGGGGATATGCAGCAAAGTAGGGAAGAGGTCCAATGGACTGTGGTAGAGGATTATTGGTGCTTTGGTGGTAGGCATGGTTTGTAGCATACCTTTGAAGAGATGTAACTCTGTACTCCTAAATCATATAATTTTGTAATCTAACATCACCTCAATTAAAAAAGTACCAATAAAAATTTTAAAGGATTATTGATTTTTTAGTGTTACAAACTGCGCATTCAGTAATTCTTTAAATATATTTTTTCTTTCAAAATGTATTCAATTAATAGGATCCAACAAACCCAAAATTTATATTTTCCTATTAAGTAATGACACTCCAAATTAAAGAAAAATCAGAAGTCTTTAAAATTTTTAATTATTAAAAAAACTTTTTTCCCCTCACCCTGTATGTTCCAGTCAGAAAAAGAGGTGCCAATGTAATGCTTAGAGAAACACTGGAAGCTTTCTGCTTAAGATCAAGAACAAGCCCACTGTCATCACTTCTGCTTAGTTTAGTGTTAGAAATTTTAGGTAGAACAATTAGACAATACCAGGAAATAAAAGGAATCCAAGTTGGAAAGGAAGTTAAATTATCATTATTTACAGATGTGATGATAGAAAAACATAAAAACTCCACTAAAAGTTCTTAGAAACAGTAAATGAATACAGCAAAGTGGCAGGGTACAAAATCAACATACAAAAATCCACTGCAAATAATGAGCAGGAATAACAAAAATTAAGATAATTCCTTTCATCATCACATAAAAAAATCAAACAGGAATTAACTGATCAAGGAAATAAAGGGCTTATACTTTGAAAACTAAGAAATATATATAGGGGCTTAAAAAATAACATCTCCGGGCCCTCCCTGGTGGCGCAGCGGGTTAAAGCACAGCACTGAGAATCTAAAGCCGCTTCCGCATGAGTTCGATTCCCACCTGCCCCGGAGGTGACCACATGGTGTGGCAGACCTCTCCTGACCCACCCGCTGCTCCCCTCAGCAGTGTACTTCGTCGATCTGCCTGTTCTGCTCCCCACTCTGTCTTTGGTGAAGCCTCTCACCGCCCCTGAGCCTCTGGCCTGTACCCCAGTTCTGTATGCATAAATAAATAAATAAAAAAAAAAATAACATCTCCTTGCTTCAAGTCTTCCTCTACTCATTCATACATACTGATTCCTTTTATGTATTAGGATCTCTTGCCCCATGATGTTAGTATATTGTATCTTGGCATGTCATCTGCTTGTCACCAGACATGGGAATAGGCTTAGGGTCCCTCAGTCTGATTCCACCCTTCAACAACACAGGCAGATAAGCTGCGAGGGAACCAGCTAGTGCTGCACTGCTACACCTGCTGGAGATCCAAGGCTGGAAACGGTTCTTGAGATCCTCTGGTTAAGGTTGAAAAGAGGACTCCACAGACACCAGTGAAGGAGGACTAGGAGTCATCGTTTACTGATTAGTAAAAAAGCAAAGCAAGGAAAGAGAACTTGGGGAGAGTTTTGTGGGAATGAGACTCTCCAATGTGTGTGTGTAGGCTTGGGTGTGTGTGTGGGGGGGATGGGTAAGGGAGGGATAGTAGGGTATATGTAATTTTAGGATTGGAACAAAGGAACTAAAGTTTATTGGCTGAGAAGGCAAGGAGAGTGAAGCACAACTCCATTTACTGCTGTTTATTGTGAGCACCCAGCAGCTGCAGCTAGGCGGTCTTGTAGGACTCCTGATCACTTCCAAGGTGAACATTTCCTCAAGGTAGTATGCCTGCAGCTCCTTTAGTCTGGTCTCAAAGTCTGTGGCTTTTCTCTCCTGGGTCTATAACACCCCCCAACCCACTCCATTGACAGCAAACTTTATATGCTGTGGAAAGATAATGCAGGGATGCCCAAGCTGGGAGAAATTATTATAATCAATATGCCAAGGAATTTACAGCAGGTATGTGACTCTACAGTCATCAGATTTAACTCTTATTTATCAGTCCCTGGGAACAGTCCTATGAGTTCTTTCCTGGACCCTTTCTATCTCACTTTTTTTTTTTTAAAAAAGATTTATTTATTTATGCATACAGAACTGGGGTACAAGCCAGAGGTGAAGGGTCAGTGAGAGGATTTACCAGAGACAGAGTGGGGAGCAGAACAGGCCGACTGACAAATACACTGCTGAGGGGAGCAGTGGGCGGGGTCAGGAGAGGTTTGCCTCGCCAAGTGGATCAGTCGAACTGATGCTGAAGGGGCTTTTAGCTTCTTACTGCTGTGCTTTAACCCGCTGCGCCAACAGAGATGGCCCTATCTCACTTTTATTATGTTTCAGTCACTCACATTTTAAAAAAAGATTTATTTAGTTATGCATCCAAGCGATGGGGTGGGGACCAGAGGTGTGTGTGTGTGTGTGTGTGTGTGTGTGTGTGTGTGTGTGTGAAAGAGAGAGAGAGAGAGAAAATACACCAGAGACAAGGTGGGGAGCAGAACAAATGGATCAACTGAAATATGGTCTGTGTGTGTGTGTGTGTGTGTGAGAGAGAGAGAGAGAGAGAGAGAGAGAGAGAGAGAGAGAGAGAGAGAGAAAATTCACCAAAGACAAGGTGGGGAGCAGAATAGGTGGATCAATTGAAATACGCTGCTGAGGAACAGCAGGGAGACAGGGCAGGTCTGCTGTGTCATTTGGGTCAGCTCCCTGATGGGGACAGGGTGGTGATGGGGAATGGAACTCGTGCTTCAGTGGCTACATATAGCTAGCTCCAGTGCTGAGACTTAACCCATTGCGCCACAGAGGAAGCCAAAGCCCCCAGTCACATTGTAGATGGCAGCCCACCAAAGGCCATGATAGGCAGAACAACTAAGAAAAGGCACTTGAGGAGAGTAGCCGACGCTGTAACTGCTAATTAAAAATGGGCTGAACTGAAAGTTAACTGCAGACTAATTTGTGAGGAAGCTAAAAAATGAGTCAGCATATTTACACTAAAACATTTTCCTAGGCCTTCAGAATAGCGCCTAGGAGTGGCAGGGATCGAGATGGAGAAGCAACATCGACATGTGGCAGATGATAAAGCCACAAGGACTATTTCTGGCGTTCAGCTCAGCTAGCTCCACTCCGGAACAGTTTCTAATCGGCGGCGGAAGAAAAACGCTTCCGGCGTTTTGCTTTTATAAGTGCTGAGTCATGGCGAAGGCTCCGCTTGGGGTCTCACAGGCAGGGTGTACATAATATGAATGAGAAGCAACATTTGGAAGTTCTTTCTCTCCATTAGCTTCTCAGTTTTCTCACTGGGGAATATTTTTCTCGGAGTCGCGGAGCACTACTTACCGACTGTCTCAACTAACTCCCCTGATACGTCATAATCGCGGCACAGCACACTTCTCCCGTCATCCTCCGCGCCACTCTCCGCCTTTCCCTATGCGCCCCGCCTACCCACGTTTCGAAGGGCTCGCTGGGTGCGCGGAGTTTTGAGCCATGTCTCTTAGGTTCTTTTCATTCGACGTTCCTATTGGTTGCTCGTGTGAACGTGACTTCTGTCTTGCCTTCTGATTGGCTAGAATCTTAGCGTCACCGTGGCCGGGAGGGCGGGGGAATGTGGGAAATTGGCGTGAGGGAGATCGGATTGGGGGAGGGGTTCAGGCCTGTCCTCCCCAGCGGCTGCGGCAGCACCAGCGCCGGCCGCCACCACCTCTGGAACGCCGAGGAGGAAGAGGAGGAGCGGCTGGAAGAGTAGGAGGAGGAGGTGGGCCCTGGGGAGCGGGATGCCCATTGCTCCGGCTTGGTGGTGAATGCTGAGGAGAGTCACTGTTGCTGCGGTCTGTGCCACCGGGAGGAAGTTGTGTTTTGAGGCCGGGCGGGAGCTCGTGGTGCTGTGGAGAATCAAAGCGCGGGGTCGGTGCGAAGAGTCTGCTGCTGCCCAAACCTTTTCTTCTCGAATCATGCCTGGAAGGAACAAGGCGAAATCTACCTGCAGCTGCCCTGACCTGCAGTCTAACGGACAGGATTTGGACGAGAGCAGCCGGGTTGCCCGTCTAGGAGCCGATGAATCTGAGGAGGAGGGACGGAGGGGGCCTATCAGTAACGCCGGAGACCCTGAGATCGTCAAGTCTCCCAGCGACCCCAAGCAATACCGGTGAGGGAGGAGATTTTGTCTGAGGGGCATAGCAGGGGTGCTTGTGGGTCTCTGTTGCTGCCGCCGTCACTTTGCCTCCTGAAAAAAGCAGAAGAGGCACGCTTGCCACCCTACGTGCTCCCTCCAGTGTCAAGGGCGATTAGGAGTCTCCGTGTGGGGGCAATTGAGAAATCTCACCTGTTGGGATGTCAGAATGGGAGGCATTGATCCAGTAATTTTGATAGTCGCTAAAGGGTTCTCTGAAGGCGCCAGCTTGGTGAGGGTGTGTTGGTAATGTTATGACGAAAGGTTGAAGAATTTTGGAGAGAACACTAAGAGGCACGTTATCATTCTTCATTGTTCAAAAACATTTGAGATGCCGGTAGTTGAAAGAAAGGTACAACGCACGGGTGGAAATGACAGGACGGTGGTCAGTAAATGAATTTAGGGATCATAGTTGCCTAAGATGAACTATCTTGTTTCCATGAGTTGTTCCTCCGTACTAGAATGGTTGGGTGAACTCTTCCAAGAATTCGTTGGATGATTTGGGTCTCAGTTGGGTGAGCATTGGAACACATAAGGTTTCTTGTAATTCTGAAATTCTCCACTTTTGGTTAAAGCTGGAATCCTCTAATCATCTGCAGGAAGGGGTGGCTCAATCCCCACCTAAACAAGTCCTTCAGAGATAGCTTATTTCATGACAGAATGTGTTTGGTATTTATATTCACATGGCTATGAATAACTAGGATATTTCATGATCATAGTGTGTCATGACTATGATGTACTTTAAATAGAAACGTATTGTCCACCAGCTTCATTTTATAGGGCAAGGAAATTGAGATCAGAGTTTTCTTACTCTGAATTACACAGCTAAACAGTACAGAATTGGTATGAAAACCCTGTCCGTTTGACACCAAATCCAGTGCACCATTTATTTTTTTGTAAATTTCTTAAGTTGAAAAACTAAAGGATTCTAGGTCTTGATTTGTCTAGAGCCCTTACAGTATTACAGGAGGAAAGAACCTTTAGAGAAACCTTTTCACTCCCCATTACTCTCCACTTGACAGATGATGAAGCGGAGAACTACAAAGAAGTGATTCAGGTTCTAAAATTTGGCTTTAGTTCTTCTGTCACTCCAAATCTAGAATTAGTAGTGCACAATTCTACTCTTTTTTTCCAGGTTGCAGGGTCAAGAGATCTTTATGAATGGACTAAATTTTCTTTCTTTTTCTTACCAAAGATGTACTATTAGTAGTATGTAAATGAGACAGTTGTAACCTTTGATAAAAAGTGCTTAGTTTTTACTTTTCATATTAAATATTCAATAGCAGTTTACTTTTGTCATGGGTAAAATGACTAACAGCTAATGTCTACAGAATATATACTGTGTATCAGATGCTGTTCTGTTCTAGATGTCTTTCAGCAAATTTCACTTGAGTCCTACTGTGTGTCAGGTGCAGAGCTGTCTTCAGTTTTTTCTGAAATTTGGTCAAATATAACTTAATAAGTAACATTTTTAGCATACGTGGTGCCATACGTGGTGATTAAGACAGGCCCTGCATTCAGGGAGCTCCCACTGCACTATAGGATACACAACACTTTAAAAAGGTAAAATTAGGACACTAATGCTTTATTGAAGCCAGAATGGAAATATATGCTGAATGCATTGGGGAGTGAAGAAAGGGATGGTAAACTCAACCTGGAGAGAAATTAGGCAGGACTTCCAAGAGGAGATAATGCTTTAGAGGTATTCTTTGAATGATTTCTTGCATTTTTATCTTTATGTGGTCTTTTTGTTAAATCCTTATTCTTAATGACTCAGTTTTCTTAAAGGTAAGGGGGGTTGATTGGAGCAGCAGTGTTTTCCAATAAGTTCTATCAAAAGAGCGGCTCACTTTTATCTGTTTTACATACTGATGTTTTGTTAGTTCAAAATAAAGGTGGGAAACCTTACTTCTAGATTATTTTAAGAGTTATCCAACTTAACATTAAATTCTGTGAATGTTTGAAACCAGAAATAGACAGGAAGCATCTGTAGCCCAGTGAACTGAATAATTCTTTCAGGATCTGCTCAGATGTTATCTCTGTGAAGTCTTTCCAGGCAGAACTAATCCCTTCTTTCACTTTGTACATGGTCCATTACAGTAAATAGCAATCATAATTACATGTCTTTTGAATATATGTAGCACCAGATGTATGTAGACCTGACTAAAGGAATATTGTGGTGAAGTAATGCCTTGAAAGGTTTATTTATCAACCTGCATTTATGAATACTTGTGAAATTTTACCTCTGTATATTTGTTGTTTATACCCAGTTCTTTTGAAATGTTGAGCATAACTCAATAGAAAGTCTATTCTTGTTTTTTAAAGGATCTTGTAAGTACTTGGTGAGTGTTGATTTCCTTCATTTCTGGAAGGATTAAGGGATTGCTGGCTGGGAACCATCGCTCAAATCTTTATTGGTTTTTAATGGAAATTCTAGACATACAGGATAAATGGTAGTGCAGTCTAAATTATTTTTATAATTAAGAGCACTTAGGAAGTTTGGATTGACTTAAATAACTATAAAATACTTTCCATATTTAACCTGTTTGTGAAAAGACCTGTCTTTCTATGTGGGAGAAGAGAAGAACATATGAAAAGGCACATAAACTTCTGAAGGGAAAAATCCTCTTAAGTTTTTGTTAGACTATTAACAAATGAAGAGTTGGTTATCTTAGTAAATTTTCAATATACTATAGAAAATAATGGATGTTTTCTGGAAAGTTTATGGATTACTTCTGAACATTTAAGTTGGTTGCTGTTATATGATGAATAGAAGCAGGTTCACAGTCCAAGTGAGCAGGACCAAAGACATGGAGAACACTAACATCTGCTGGCTTCCCAAATCAGAGTAGATAGACTTCTGAGGAGAAGTTTTATGCAAACCTAAGATATTAGAAGAATGTACATCAAAAATATAACCTTTTTTTTCCATGGGAAGAACATATCCTTATTTATTTGGCCTTTCCAACTAAAACCTCTAGAATAATAATGCTTTTTTCAGTATATGAAGCAACAGTTGAATTTGTAGTCATCTGTACACATTAATAATAAAATAATAGACTCTTAGAGCTACAAAAGTAATTATGTACTTATGCACGTGTATATAAATTCTAAGAACTTGATAACATCCAAACATGTATTTACTTAGGCTTGATACCCGATTCAGACTTGATTATGCAAACTCTTAATCTTGCAGAAAACTAGCTTAATTTTATCTTGTGAGAGTTACTCATTTAACTCTTTTTTAAGGATGAAAAACATTAAATCATCTGAATACTAACATGACTTTCTTTAATAAGCATAATTTTGTGTTTCCTTTCCTTATACCGCTTTCTTCAAGTAAAGGCTAGTAAGAATAGGAAAAACATTCTTAGCTAAAATGTTTCTTTGGGGGAAATAAGATTCAGCCTTTAAAAAAATCTATTTTTGAATAACTGAACAATGGCAAGATTAGCTCTAGCTAAAATCTCTAACACTAATTCTCTACATAAAGCAGAAGTGATGACAGTGGACTTGTTTTTGATCTTAAACAGAAAGCTTTCAGTGTTTTCACCACTAAGCATTACTTTGGCACTCCTTTTTCTGACTGGAACCATGTCAGGTGTAGGAGAAAGAAAAAGTAAGTTCCAGCTATGCCAGAAACCCAACTGATTGCTAGAAAAATCAGACGACACCAGGAAATAAAAGGAACCCAAGTTGGAAAAGAAGTGAAATTATCATTATTTGCAGATGCTATGACAGAGAGCAATAAAAAGTCTACTAAAAGATCTTAGATATAGTAAATAAATACAGCAAAGTGGCAGGATACAAAATCTACATACAAAAACCCACTGCAAATAATAGACAAGAAGAACAAGAAATTAAGGAAATAATTCCTTTCATAATCACATAAAAAAGAATTCAAACACCTAAGAATTAACCTGATCAAGAAAATAAAGGACTTAGACAATGAAAACTATAATATGTAAACAGGGACTTAAAAAAACATCTCCCTGGCCCTCCCTGGTGGCGCAGCGGGTTAAAGCACAGCACTGAGAATCTAAAGCCGCTTCCGCATGCGTTCGATTCCCGCCTGCCCCCGGAGGTGACCACATGGCGTGCCAGACCTCTCCTGACCCGCCCGCTGCTCCCCTCAGCAGTGTACTTCGTCGATCTGCCTGTTCTGCTCCCCACTCTGTCTCTGGTGAAGCCTCTCGCCGTCCCTGGGCCTCTGACCTGTACCCCAGTTCTGTATGCACAAATAAATCTTAAAAAAAAAAAAAATCTCCCTGCTTCAAGTCTTTTAATACTCACTCAAACATACTTATTCCTTTTATGTAGTAGGATCTCTTGCCCCATGATGTTAGTATATTGTATCTTATCATATTAGCTGCTTGTCACCAGACAAGGCAGTGGGCGTAGGCTTCCAAACTCCTTAGAAAAGAACTTGTCTTGCTTCACACATACTTTTACCAACATTAGTGATAACATGTTATTTTCCACTTTAGATTTTACTATATATTTTCTCAACTTTTGAACATACTGTCTAGTTTTTACTTGTGGAATAGTCATAGAGGCTAATCCCTTAGTCTCTTTAAACTTGGCACTGACTCCTTGAATAAACAACAGTTGAGTACTATCGGTAACATCTTTTGACAATGAAGAATGAAAATCTTGAAATCATTTGCCTTGCTTTTAATTGACAATTGGTACTACTACTAAAGTCCTTAACTCTGAACAGTAGTTCTCACAGAAAAGCGAATAGTCTTTTTTTTAATTTTCTCTAGGACTTTTCTGATAATAAAATTTAGATCTGAATCATACAGTCTGTGATTACATTTTTTCTCATGAATAACGTTTCTCTAGAGTTAAAATTGCCGTATTTTTAAAAACAGGTTTACTGAGATACAATTTACATATCATACAGTTCACCCATTTAAGGATATAACTCAGTACTTGCAGTATATATATTTAGATATATGTGTGTGTGTGTGTATTGAATGTTTATTTTTTCTTAGAAGAACTGAGGTGTAGGCCAGAGGTGGGGTGGGGAGGTGAGAGGATTCACCAGAGACAGAGTGGGTAGTAGAACAGATGGACCTACTGAAATAAACTGCTAAGTGGAGCAGCGGGTGAGACAGGAAAGGTCTGCTGTGCCACTGTGGGTTATTTCGCTGGCAGGGCATCCAACTCAGATTGTAGAGGTGAAAGTGCTGAAATTACCCCTAGACCACCAGTGAGGATGCCCTGCTTACAGTATATTTGGAGTCTATGTACCCATCACCACAATTTTAGAACATTTTCATTATCTCAAAAAAGAAAAAACACCTTTTATCTATTAACCTTACCAACCTCCCATCCCCACAACCCTCAGCAAATCTTAGATTTACCTATTTCTCTCTTTAGATTTTCCTACTTTTGTCATTTCATATAAATAAAATCATGTACTATGTCATCTTTGTTATTGACTCCTTCATTTAGCCTAATGTTTTCAGGGTTTGTCTATGTTGTAGCATGTTATCAGTGCTGCTTTTTTTTTTCTTTTTTCGAGTAATAGTTTGTTGTATGGATTTTTTTTTTATCCACTCAACAGTTGATGGACAGCTTTGGCCTATTAAGAATATGCTATGAGGCCCTCCCTGGTGGCGCAGCGGGTTAAAGCACTGCACTAAGAAACAAGCCACTTCCGCATGAGTTCGATCCCCGCCTGCCCGGGAGGAGATCCACATGGCGAGGCAGACCTCTCCTGACCCGCCCGCTGCTCCTCTCAGCAGTGTACTTCGTCGATCTGCCTGTTCTGCTCCCCACTCTGTCTCTGGTGAATCCTCTCACCCTCCGCATCTCTGGCCTGTACCCCAGTTCTGTATGAATAAATAAATCTTTAAAAAAAAAAAAAGAATATGCTATGAATAGTTATGTTAAAAAACATATATTTTCATTTTTCTTGATTATATAATGAATAGGAGTAGAATTGATGGATCATGAAGAAATTGTTTATTTAAGGATCTATCTGTTTATTTAAGGATCTAAAGTGGTTGTACCATTTACATCCCCCTTAGCAGTGTATGAAAATTCCAATTTCTCTACAGTGTCACCAGCACTGTATTTTTTATTATAGCTGCCCTACTGTGTACCTCATTGTGATTTGCATTTCTCTGTGGTCTAATGATGTTAAGGTTTTTTTTTCACATACCTGTTGGTCTTCTTATACTATATGTGTCTTCCTTAGAGAAAAATATATTCAAATCCCTTTGCTCTTCTAAACCAGTGTTACCCTAGTAATTATTTTTTTTTCCTTTAAGTAGTAATAGTTCTTTGTACATTTTAGATATAAGTCTCTAGGTAAATGATTTGCAAGATGTACTCCTAATGGTATCCTTTGAAGCTCAAAAGTTTTAATCGTGTTGTCTGGTTTATTTTTCATTTGTTGCTTGTGCTTTTGGTGTCATATCTAAGATGTTTTATTATTTTTGTGTAGTGCCCTTGGTGATCTAACATATAGTTAGTTCTCTGGCAGATCTTTGTGACTTCTCTATGGTCAGGCATATCAAGTAAATCCAGCTGTTTTCTTTTATCTTTGCTTTTCAGTATGTTTTTTAGTTGTAGGACATTTCTTTGAAAACAAAACAACTTTTCTTCCTCTGCTTTCTTTTGAAATTACTATATAAAATGGGAGAAACTGGTTCTGTGTTGAAAGACTTCACTACAGTATTATTCTTAGCTTTTTGTCTTCCTTTTCACATGAAGAATGACATATATGGTTAGAGGGTGTGCCCCTAATTTTAATCTTTTTTCAATCCAGCCTGCTGACACAATATTTTGCAGTGTTTTTGGCTAGTGCAGTAAACAGTGCATGTCACACTTTGCCTTTTAGGGGAAATATTTCTAAAAATTTTTTTTAAAGATTTATTTATTTATGCATATAGAACTGGGTACAGGCCAGAGGTACTGGGGGGGTTAGAGGATTCACCAGAGGCAGAGTGGGGAGCAGAATAGGCAAATTTACTGAAATACACTGCTAAAGGGGAGCAGCAGGTGGGTCAGGAAAGGTCTGCCACACCTCCCTGAGGTGGGGTCACCTCCCTGGCCAGGGGTGGAACTTGTGCTGCAGTGGCTGTGGTAGCTTCATAGTGCTGTGCTTTAACCCATTGCACCACCAGGGGAGGCCCTTGGGGGAATATTTCTATTCTTCAATTCAGAGACTTCCATTCAAAGAGTATTAACAAGCTGTTTCCAAACAACTCTTTTCACAGTGATCAGTTGAGTTGCATGAATTCTTTAATTTGCGTATCAGCACTTTGTCAGATGTGTTATGTGTAAATATTTTCTCCTATTCAGTAGGTTGTCTGTTATACTGATTGTTTCTTTCTGTGTGCAGAAGCTTTTTGGTTTGATGTAATTTCATTTGTTTATATTTGCTTTTGCTTCTCTTGCCAGTGGAGAAGTCTACAAAGACTTTTTGAAGCCAGTGTTGTGGAATGTTTTTCCTGTTTTTTTTCTTTATATTATAGTTCATGCCCATGTCTTTAATCCAAACTAAATTAATTTTGACATGCCCTATTGCTGTTTGGTTTATTATTTGGCACAGAGGGACAAATAAGTGAATGAAGTTCTTTAATTATCATTTGCAAAATTATAAGACTGTTATATTTGAAATATGTCTAAGAAAGGTTTTCAGCTTTTAGTTAAGTGGTAGATAATAATAATAAATTCAAAAATGAGTAGCTTTAAAGTCTAGAGTCTACTTGTGCTCTTCCTTGTGTTTTCCTGCCATATCTTCCTATGTTCTCCCCCATGAATTTGTCATTCCTTTGCTTAGTTTTTTATACCATACACACACATCAAAGCAATATGTTGTTTACTTCATATGTTGTTTTGGCTGTATATGAATGATATTCATATGGCATGTAAATCCTCTTTTTTTGCTATTTTCAATCAATTTTTAAAAATTCATTATGGTTGTAGCTTGTTGAATTATGCATTTCTCTGTTTTATAATAGCCTATATGTGAAAAAAAAATTCCATAGTGTGGTTTTTGTTGTTGTTTTAGATACATCAAATTACGGAATGGCTTGCAGGCACTTTTGATTTCAGACCTAAGTAATATGGAAGGAAAGATGGGAGATGCAACAGATGATGAAGAGGAAGAAGAGGAAGGAGAAGATGATGACGATGATGACGACGACGATGATGACGATGATGAAGATTCTGGAGCAGAAATAGAAGATGATGAAGAAGAAGGGTTTGAAGAAGAAGATGAGTTTGATGATGAAGAAGAACATGATGATGACCTTGATACTGAAGATAATGAATTGGAAGAATTAGAAGAGAGGCCAGAAGCTAGAAAGAAGACCACTGAAAAACAGGTGTGAGTCTTGTCTATTATTATTTTTCCTAATTTGGTGATATTTTGGGATAAGTTCTGACCTCAGGTTTTACTTCTTATTAGCAAAAAGAAAGTATATTCCTTTTGTTGTCAGGAAAGGTCTGTTTTTTCCATGTAAGACTAATTTTTAAAAACATTTGCCCTGATTATGAAAGTGCCCTGATTATGAAAGTGACAAAGGCATATACAACTTAATAGAAAATAAAGAAAAACAAAAATGTAAAAATGACCCATAACTCTGAGGTAATCACAGATACTATTTTTATATGTATTTGTACATTATATGTATTAAAAGCAAATGCCGGGATGAGGAACTACATAATTCTTAACTTGAAATAGAGGAATAGGAGAGCATAATATCAGAGACACTGATAAAAATAAAATGAAAAGAACATGGCGAACGTAGAGTCCTCATCTGGATGAGTCCTAAGAATCTTCATATGGGTGATTTCTGTCTAAGTAATTGCATATGATTTACCTCTTCTTATGAAAAAGTACCAGAAGTCAGGACAAATACATAAAATTGGAAGAATTAAAATATAATTGGGGAATTGAGATTTGTTTGTATAATATTATAAATATTAATAATAGATAAGTTAGTCTTGATAATGAGAATTTCACTTTGGCTGTCTTGAAAATTATCTCCATTTTGCATTATAGATTACTCATATTAGAGGATAATATTTTGGAAGCAGCAACATGAAATTAATCAGCAGTTGTTTGTTAAAGCTACTTGGCATACAGTTGACATGGTACAGTTCACATATAAATAAAGTCCAGATTAGTAAGACTAAATTTAAAGATCAAATGTGTAGTATTGTAATATTTAAAGATGTGAAGATATGCAAATAGTTGATAGTTTTAAATAAGTACTTTGATACTCTTCTTTGAGGAAAATCAGTTTTCAAAAGAAGGTGATATACTGGTTCTTTCACCGAGTTGTTGGGGGAGAATTGAGTCATGCTTTTAAGAAACTTTTGGGTTCCTGCTATTCATACTATGATACCTGTTTCAGGTAGCATTATAGGTCAAGAGGTTTTAGCTTGGAAAGTTTTAAAAATGAAAATCAAAGTACTGGAAAAAATGTATGTATATGCTACTTGGTCATCTGTAATATGGTCTTAATAAATATATTGGAAATTAATAATTCTACTTTTAATTTAACATAGATCTAATATTTCCAAATAGAAAGATAAAAGAAAGGAAGAAGTTCTAAAAAAATCACAGGGTCAAGGAAAAGAACATTAACAAAAAACAAGAGTTTTAACTCTGGCTCTGTCCCTGTCTTTCTGGAGACCTATTTAAATTTTTTTTTCTCATTTCTAAAACAAGATGATTAAATTACATGTTTTTTGAGATCTGTTTTAGCTCTTTGCAAAAAGAAAGTATATTTCTTTTGATATTCAATAAAAGTGTTTATTTTGTATAAAGACTGATTTTAAAAACACTGTGCTCTGGGCCTCCCTGGTGGCCTAGAGGCTTAAGCATCAGTGCTAATCACGCTATGTAGCCAGCCACCACATCATGAGTTCTATCCAGGCCAGGGGCTAACCCACATGATACAGTAGACCTGTCCTCCTGTCTCACGTGCTGCTCCTCTCAGCAGTATACTTCAAGCTTGCCTGTTCTGCTTCTTACTCCATTCCACTCTAGTGAATCCTCGCCTCACCCCCAACACACCTCTGACCTACATCCCCGTTCTTGTATGCATAAATAAAGTAAATCTTTGAAAAAAAATTTTGTTCTAATTGTGAAAGTGATGTGTAAGTCTTACCTCTGAGACTTATAACTTTACAACTGAGTCTTTATACATCTCTTTTTATATCTATTTGTAGCTCTTCCTGTGCTTTGGGCATCTTTTTATCATCTAGCAATTAATAAGAAAAGTCTGGGGTTAAATTAAAAAATTGTTTGCAGAGCCAATTTTATTATCAAGGCATATTGAAATACCTTAGGTTTTTGAGCAATTGTTTCAATCCCTTTGACATTAAAGATATACTATCAGTATTTTGGTACCCTTTTTATTTTGCTTAGGTGGTGCAAACTAAATATTAACCTCTTCTAGAAGCAGCAAGGCCAGATTCCAGTGATCTGGAATTAATTAAAAAATGGATTAGATGCTATTTTTTGTTTTCTCAGAATTAGGTATTAATATATTACCCTGTAAGGTATTTGCAGTTAATTTTCTGGATCATATTGGGAAGAGTTGGAGCAAACTAATGTAGTTTGAAGAGAAGATCAAATTGTTTTAATTCAGGTGCAGTGGGTACACTTGTAAAAGATCCCATGATTGTATCAGTTTCAGTGGAAAATAGTTTATATCAATGAATAAATGTGTTTCCCAAAGGGAATTAAATAGTCTTGAAAAGAGATGGTGTAAGAGTAATACAGGGTTTTGCAGTGGTTTTATAATTTTTATTTGATAAATGTGAACCTTGTTTAAGTTAAATATAAACATTAATAAAGGAAGCAGCGAGAAAAAAATTTAAGGTTTTTGGAGAACATTTACTTAGTTAAAAAGTTAACTATTTTTCAGAGGCATCCTTTTTTTTTTTTTTTTTTAACATCCTCACTTTCCCCTTTTCCCCTTCTCCCAAAAGGAAATTGTTCTTTATCTGAAAGATTTGATAAATTAACAAGATTGACATTTAAATATGGTATATATTAAATTATGATTTGCTCTGGACTTTCTTAAGTCAATTGTCAGCTATGAATTTCAAGTATGAATTTCTTGGGTAGTTAATTCTCAAGTATGAATTTCTTTTCTAGCAATCGCAGAGCCTGTTTTTGCTGTGGTCAAAGCTGACTGATAGACTGTGGTTTAAGTCAACTTATACAAAAATGTCTTCAGCCCTGCTGGTCGAAACAAGAAATCTTTATGGGGTAGTTGGAGCTGAAAGCAGGTTAGGCACCTATTAACCATCACAGAACAGGTTAGACTGTGGTTTGAAGAAGTAGATATTTCCCTCGTATTTTAACTCAGTTTATGTATTTAAGTCTTTAAAATGAGATTTTCAGTATCAAGTGAGGCTGTTTGGTTCTTCTAATACTCTATTTTCTGACACATGGTTAGTCTTTATACCAAGTACATGCTATCTTTTTGAAACTTTAGAAAGCTTTTATCATTTATCAAAACAATTGGTCATCTTAAAATTGATACTTGGATAATTTGGGAAAGTTAGTAATTCAACTTCCTATTCTCAAGGATTTGAATAGACCATTGTTCTCTCCTCTTGTGTGTCTTTTCATAATGGTATGCCCTATTTATTTTAAATGCAGTTTGGTATACCTCTGGATCATCTATTTTGCTTAAAACTTTGATTTTTTCCCCAAGGTATTGAAAAATATCTATTGTTAAGTAATGTGTCTGTGTATTTATGTCTTCAATAAGAAGAACTAAAAAGCCTCTTTAAAATTTAGTTCTGTTTTTTAAAAAATTTTCTTTTTTTAACAATTTACTTAACATTATCTTTGTTAGCTGTTTTCCTGACTTTATTTTATGCCCTGTTTTAATAAAACAGTTTTCTAAGTAATATATTGAGAAATTTAACATGTAATAACTGAGTTACTGAACTCAGCCTTTACTTGTTTAGAGGTAGTGATAACCTATATAGGTACGTTATTTCTGCAGATTTCCAAAACCTAGTAAATCAGGAAACAAGCTTGGTTCAGAACTCTAAAATGCTGACAGGAAATGATATTTGGGTGGGTTTGCCAGTTCCCTTTCCTTTTTTTTTTCCCCTTTTTTTTTTTTTTCTGTCTGTTTCTGCTTTTTCCCTTAGGTCTGCACCTGTTCAGCATTTGGCAGTATGGCAAGAGGAGGAGCAGCAAAGTGAAACTGACACAGTTCTGGTGAGTTTCACTTTGCTGCTCCTCCTGATTCTCAGGGAAAGAATTTTGTTGCTTCTTTATTGGAAAACATCCATCTTCAAATGAATCCTTAAAGTAAAATGACAACATTATTCCTTTAGGATTGACTCATTATTTGTATGTGTTCTACTTACTCCAGTCTGCAGCTGCTCTTTGTGTTGGAGTTGGGAGTTTTGCTGATCCAGATGACCTACCTGGCCTGGCACACTTTTTGGAGCACAGTAAGATCTTTGTAAAATATTCCAGGGCATATTTTTTCCTCCATATTTCTTTAAATTGATTTCAAAGATAAGTAGCTAGTTTGATAGATTTCTATATTATGTTTAATGAGAAAAAAGGCTAAGAAAGTTATGACTATCATAAAGGAAGACTTAGTATTAATCTCTTTGCAAATACTTGCTTTGAGAATTAGAATCAAGTCACTCAGAAAACTATTACATTTTATTATTCAGATATGGTAAGTCCAAGATTAGGAGAGAAGTAACCAATATTAGGAGTTTAGAGTGTTAGGAGGGACAATCTATTCAGGGCTAGCAAGGCCCCAACATATCAAAGCATTAGAAATAGAGAATATAAAAAAAGATTAAAAACAAGAGAAAATCTTCAGTTTTAACCATATTATACCCAATTAAAACTTTTGTGGATACTGTGCAATTATGTAAGTATTTAAATTCTTATTTATTTTTCTGATTTACATTTTTAAAATTCTGGTTCTGAGTTACTATGTGAGGGTAAACTTCTTTATAGATTTTATAGTAACAGTTATTCTGTTTATTTTGACCTTTTTATAAATACATTTTATATTTCTTAAAGTTTCTTGTGCGGAATGGACGATGATGAGGGGTCAGGCGGGCTGGTGGTAGGTGAACTACAGGGACTCCACTTGAGATAAATCATATAGTGTCCAAAAATTAACAGTGACGTAAGGAAATTACTTCATCTAAAAATTTTTTAAAAAGGTTTTTTTGTATATAAAATATATAATAAATATGTAATAAAGACTATTATCTAGATATAAGCATTGATGAAGCTATTAGTATATTAGTTTTGTTTTTGTGTATGAGAAATTTCATGTTTGATAAATGGGTAGCTTATCTTTGTGTTCTCTTTCCATTTAGTGGTATTTATGGGTAGTTTGAAGTATCCAGATGAGAATGGGTTTGATGCCTTCCTCAAGAAACATGGAGGTAGTGATAATGCTTCAACTGATTGTGAACGTACAGTGTTTCAATTTGATGTCCAGAGAAAATATTTCAAGGAAGCCCTGGATAGGTAACTAACTTGAAATATGTTTTTTGACTCTTTTAAGCCACCCTAAAAATGGAAATATTGGGCATTATGGTATTTCTTTTCAAGTAGTTCTCTCATTCTGGAGAATGGTCACATTGTTGGAGAAGACAGCAGGTGTTATAAATACCCTTTTGTTCTTGTTCTGTAATGCTCTTTAATCTTTTAATTAACGATTAAACTGAAATCCATAATTACTTGAGTTTGTAAATAATGTATTCTCAGTTGACTAATGCAAAGGGAAAATTAGAGAACAGGGATTGGGTGATTGCTCTGTATTTTATAATATAAAGAAAATTGTGGTTAGTGTTTTGGTATATAGCCATTATATCTTTTAATGTATATGGGATCATAGTCTTAATAATCTTTTCTATTTTTGAATATGATATATCATTTTTATGTATCATTATATAACAGGCATAATTTTAAGTGATTGTGAGTATTATTTGCATTGTATAGAATACCATACCATAGTTATGTATTACCACATTTAATTTTTCTACTTTTCTAATATTGTTATGCTGTGATGAAAATCCTAATATATTCCTAGTTATTTCTTTTAGTCTAATAAGTGAAATTGCTGAATATATTTTTAGGTATCTTAAAACATTTTAAAAGCATTTGATATGGGGTTCTCCTAGGTGGTGCAAGCGGTTAAAGTAAAGCACTATAAAGCTGTCCACAGCCACTGTGCCATAAGTTCCATCCCCTGCCCGGGAGGTGACCCTTATGGCATTGGCAAACCTCTCCTGTCTTGCCTGATGTTCACTGCTCCCCTCAGCAGTGTATTTCAGTCAGTCTCTACTGCTTTCCACTCTGTCTCTGGTGAATCCTCTCACCCCCCCCACACACACCTTTTGCCTGTACCCCAGTTCTTAGATGCATAAATAAATAACTTTTTTTAAAAAAAGCATTTGATATTGCAGAATTGTTTTCCAGAAAGCTTCTTTTGGTACATTAGTAGAATTTTGATACCACAAGCTTGTAAGCCACATTTTATACACAATTCTAGATAAATTTAACAATAGACAGTATGTTATTCATTAGTGAATAAATGGATAAATGACTGGTATGTAAGCCCTTTAATGACAGAGATTTTTGTCTTTTTTGTTGTTGATATAGCTCCATCAAAGTAGATACTCAGTTATTTGTTGAGGGGATATTTGTTGAATGAACAGGTTCTCTATAGAATATGTTATCAAAAAACCAAAACACAAATGACCAAAAAAAGTGTCAAGACATGATAAAAGTCCATTTTTTTTCTTTTTTTAAAGATTGACTTATTTATGCATTTAGAACTACAGTACAGGCCAAAGGTGCAGGGTTGGTGAGTGTTCACCAGAGACAAGAGTAGGGAGCAGAACAGGCAGATTGATGAAGAACACTGTTGAGGGGAGCAGCGGGCAAGACAGGAGAGGTCTGCCATGTCATGTGGGTCACCTCCATGGCCAGGGATCAAACTTGTACTGCAGTGGCTGTGGAGAGCTTGGTAGTACTGTGCTTTACCTGTCATACCACTAGGGAGGGCCCAAATGTACAGTTTTCTTAACTGAATTAAGGAATAAAAGTGGAATTTCTACATTTAAAGTTCAGAAACAAAATTATATTGTTTAGAACATGCACTTTAAGTGGGGGTGATACTGTTATTTTTGGTGGCAAAATTTTATTCTTTGTGGGGGTTATAGAACTATTCCATATTTTAGTGGTTTGTGGCCCTCCAAAACTTAATCCTACCTGGTGAATTAAATAGTATTTTAATTTCTCCAAATTTTCTCAAGTATCACATAAGCACCATTTAAACTGACAGTGACTTCATGGAAGAGAGACAAAACAAAAACAAGGTCAGTGCTACAAAACTCTGGTGGTGAGATGATTGGAGGTCTTTCAAATGATTTTGTGATCCTGAAGTCATTGTAGAGATGGTCTACAGGTGACAATTGCCGTTTGTTGCCTTATAGTTTTGTTTGTTCGTTGGTGCTTTTGTTTGTACTTTGGCTTTTAGAATTATTTTATTCTCTTTTATTATACAACTCAACAAGTTATTTTACCCATTACTAATTATACCAAGTTTGAAGAAGGGAAAAAGTAGCATTGTGGGCTCTCCTTGGTGGTGCAACAGGTTAAAGTACTGTATTATGAAGCTTTATGAAGCCATTGCAGCACAAGTTTGATCCCCAGCCAGGGAGCTGACCCACATGGCGTGGCAGACCTCTCCTGACCCGCCCACTGCTCCTGTCAGCATTGTACTTCGTCACTCTGCCTGTTCTGTTACCCATTCTGTCTCTGGTGAATCTTCTCACCCACCACACCTCTGGCCTGTACCCCAGAAAATTCGGAGAAATTAAAATACTATTTGATTCACCAGGTAGGATTAAGTTTTAGAGGGCCACAAACCACAATAATATGGAATAGTACTTCAGCCCCCACAAAGAATAAATAAAGCATAAATAAATCAATCTTTTTTTTTTTTTAAAAAGCAGCATTGTAATGAATAAATATTAGTAAAGTAATATGTTAGGTTAAGCAAAAGTTTAAAAATTACTAAATATTATGGGATATAAATTGTTTTACTTTTTGGAATGATAAATTTGATTAATTCTTAAGAAATTTGACTGCATTGCTGTTATACAAATGGATAATGTTGTTTCATAAATTTGTAATTTTTACTTTTTTTTTTTAAAGATTTATTTATTTGTGCATACAGTGGGGTATAAGCCAGGGGCTCAGGGGCAGCGAGAGGCTTCACCAGAGACTGAGAGGGGAGCAGAACAGACAGATCGATGAAGTACACTGCTGAGGGGAGCAGTGGGCGGGTCAGGAGAGGTCTGCCACGCCATGTAGTCACCTCCGGGGCAGGCGGGGGTCGAACTCATGCGAAAGGGCTTTAGATTCTCAGTGCTGTGCTTTAACCCACTGCGCCACCAGGGAGGGCCCCTGTTTTTGTTTTTTAATATAATTCATCTACTTATATAAATCATGCATCAAAAAATATGTCTCCATTTATAAAAGTAAAAATTACAGGCCTCCCTGGTGGGCGCAGTGGGTTAAAGCACAGCACTAAGAAGCGTAAGCCGCTTCCGCATGAGTTCGATTCCCGCCTGCCAGGGAAGAGATCCACATGGCAAGGCAGCCCTCCCCTGACCGGCCCCTGCTCCCCTCAGCAGTGTTCTTCGGCAATCTGCCTGTTCTGCTTCCCCTCTCTGTCTCTGGTGAATCCTCTCATCCTCCATATCTCTGGCCTGTACCCCAGTTCTGTATGAATAAATAAATAAATCTTAAAAAATAATAATAAAAAAATGAAAAAACATTTATAAAGTTAGATGAAATACTAATAGCCTTTAGCATTGTAACTTTTGATTTAAAATTTTAATTTAATCATTTATGACCCTACAGCATTACATAAACTGTGTACTTTTTTTTTGTTTTAGATTTATTTATTTATGCTTACAGAACTGGGGTACAAGCCAGAGGTGCAGGGGCTGTGAGAGAATTCACCAGAGACAGAGTAGGGAGCAGCATAGGCAGACTGAAAAAGTACACTGCTGAGGGGAGCAGCAGGTGGGTGAGGAGAGTTCTTCCACGCCATGTGGGTCACCTCCGGGACGGGGGGTTTAAACTTGTGCTGAAGTGGCTTTAGCTTCTCAGTGCTATGTTTACCCACTGCGCCACCAGGGAGGACCCAGACTGTGTACTTTTTATATATAAGGTCATGAATATACATATATTATAAAAATAAGACAGTGTATCTTTGTCTTATTCCTAGGGGAATGACTAGGAAAAAACTTCTGAGAATTCTCTTTAGAGCTGATAATGGTAAAAAAGCAGTTAAGGAGCATTGGTGTCTAGAAATACTTATGTAGGTGGTAAAACTATAAAAAAATATAGAGACATGGTTGTTGTGACTACATGATATTCCAGATATTAACTCTGAGGGTAAGGTAGGCACAGATGGCTTCTGAGTCTGATAGAGTCTGTTTTTTGACATGGGTGGTATCTACTCAGGTTTTTATGCATTAGTCTTATAAGTTTCTATTTTATGTATATTTATGATAGATATTATATAGTGGGAAAAAAGTAGTTTGTAGACTTTAAGTAAAGAAATAGAAATAGTATTTAGCAAAGTAGTATTTAGATTTTATTTGTAGCATTTTCTTTTTTAGCTTGACTTAGTGTCTAGTTCTAAATTTATCTAATAAAATAAAATACCTAATTTTATAATTATGAATTAAATTCTTCATTAAAAAATATTGACTGATAAAAGTGTTTACTGAACATAAATAAATGCCATTTTTGTTTTCAGATGGGCTCAGTTCTTCATCCATCCACTAATGATCAGAGATGCAATTGATCGGGAAGTTGAAGCTGTTGACAGTGGTAAGAGAAGGGTTTTATGTCTTACACTTTTTTTACTTCATTAAACCTGTTATTTAAAACATACATCAGGGGCCTCCCTGGTGGTTTAGGGGTTAAGTTTCAGTGCTATCATGCTACAGCCTATCGTGGTCACCTCTGGTATACTCCCCAGTTCTGCGCACACACATACACACAAACAAAAAGAAACATACATCATTATCTCTAGGCCAGAAAGACTAAATGAAATAGATGTATAATTTATTTATTTCTGAAGCTGTTTAATGTCTAATTCAGTGTAGATTTGAAATAATCAAAAGGATAATTAATTCAGTTTTTTCCAATAATTGTTTTTTGAGGGTTTTAATGTTGTGACTAATCTTACAGGAACAGGAGCCTAATTCTTTTTTGTTTTAAGTATGCTTTATTTTTTTTAAAGATTTACTTTTATTTATTTATACATACAAGAACTGGATATAGGCCAGAGATGTGTGGGGGTGAGAGTACTCACTAGAGGAAGAGTGGGGAGCAGAACAGGCTGACGTATTGAAAATACATTGCTGAGGAGAGCAGTGGGCAAGACAGAAGCGGTCTGCTCCACCATGTGGGTCAGCTCCCTGGCTGGCTAGGGATCCAACTGGTGCAGTAGTGGCTGGTGATTGCTTGATAGTACTGTCTTTAACCCGTATGCCACCAGGGATGCCCCCCCAAACCATCTTAAATCATATGGCAGAGTGTGTTCTCTAACTGTTCATATATTTATATTGTATGTTTTTCGGCTGTAAGAGGTCTTAAATCACTTTTTGTAAATATACTTAAATATATATTCTATTAGAGTCCTGTTGGCTGCTATAATAAATTGTCAGAAATTAGTGGTTTAAAATTACACAAATTAGGCCCTCCCTGGTGGAGCAGCAGGTTAAAGCACAGCACTGAGAATCTAAAGCCGCTTCTGCATGAGTTCGATTCCCACCTGCCCCGGAGGTGACCACATGGTGCGGCAGACCTCTCCTGACCCACCCGCTGCTCCCCCAACAGTGTACTTCCTCGATCTGCCTGTTCTGTTCCCCACTCTGTCTCTGGTGAAGCCTCTCACCGCCCCTGAGCCTCTGGCCTGTACCCCAGTTCTGTATGCACAAATAAATAAATCTTAAAAAAAAAAAATTACACAGATTAATTTTCTTAAATTTTGCAGCTCAGAAATCTAAATATTTTTTCAAGGCTTTATTTCTTTTGGCAAATGCAGAGGAGAATATTTTCTTGTCTTTTCTAGCTTCTAGCTTCCACTTATATTCCAAGATTCTGACTCTCATTTTTCTATCTTAGGTGTTGTCAGTGTAGAATCTTCTCTTAGATCTGGGTGTATATCCTTATATCTACTCTCTGACTTTGACTTCCCATTTATTTATTTATTTATATTTTTGATTACCCATTTATTAGGACCTTTGTGATTACATTGGGACCATATGCATAATCCAGAATAACCCCTTCCACAGGAGCCTTACCATAAAATCCTTTTTACTACAAAAGGTACCATATTCAAGCTTTTGGAGATTAGTATGTGGACATTTGGGCTGCTCATTATTTAGCCTATCACACAATAGACTTGTTTCTCCTGTGTTGTTGTCATTTGTAATTTGAAACTATATATTTTTTAGCTATTGAAGCTATTTGTGTTTATTTTACTCTCTCATCTTTCATTTGGGCTTTATGGTTTATAACGAAAATATTTTATTGAGTACATGGTCTTCTAGTTTCTTTCCATGTTTGTACATGTTATACTGCTTCCTTGGTGTGTGCTTTTTTCATGATAGACTATAATCAGTTTTCCTGTGATGACATTTGTTTCTCTTCAGTTCATTCCTCACATTTATAACCAGGATTAACTCATTAATGTTCAAACCTGTTGTCACTCTCATTGACCATCTATATAAGGAGTAATAACATTTATTAGGTACTATTTGTTTGCTACATTATTGTGGTTATTATTTTCCCCATTATTCTTATTTAATGTGTGATGAAACTGAGGCTTGGAGGGGCTAAATCGTTAACCTAAATTCCTAGAATCAATCATTGCCCCAAGACCACAATCAGTAATGACTACATGGTACCCTTTTGTGTGCACATACAATGCTGCTTCCTAAGCTCTTCTCAGACCTTCCTATATGTCTTTACCTAGGCTCTTCCAAAATGTCTATTCCTTTTATCTTTAGCCATTATCTTGCTATTGCTTTCATTCTGAGCTTTGTTCAACCATATTGACTGTTTTTTCAGAAGTGCTTATATTCTCCTTACCTTTTAAATGTTACTTCTTAGGATGCTTTGCACACTCACATTTTTCCCTAGAAAATTCTTGTTTGTCCCAAAGGCTCAGCTTGAGTCTGTCCCTGAGTTCATCCCCAAATAAATTCACACTAAAAAATAAGGCAAAATTAGTCTTGGTTGTAGTATGTATATGTTTTAATAATATGCAGTGTCTTAGAAGGATTTCATCATAGTGAATGTGATTTCTACTGGGCTCTAAATTCTTTTAATTATTAAATACTTGCATTGGCCTCTTTGCTAGCTTTGAATTTATTAAGGCATATATTCATTCATTCCTTGTCTTAACCTTTGAAATTATAATTTCCATATCTGGAAAACTCCCAGATAATCTTTTGACATTAGTCTCATATTATTTGGATTCCTGCTCAGTTGTTACTTTCTCAGAACAGCCTTCTATGATCAACATCTTATCATTTTACTTTTCCTTATCTGTATTATTTTTCTTGTGGCAGCTATCACTGACTGATTGATATGTTTGGAATCTATTTGTCACTTTATTTATTTTTTTATGTCTCATTGTAGAATGTAAGCTCCTTGAGAGCAGGGACTTGGTCCCTTTGATTCACATTTCTACTTCCAGCAGCTGTTTCAGTGGAACCTGCCACATTAGTAGATGCTCAATAAATATTTGTTGAAGGAATAGATTTTTTTAAAAAATAATTTATTATGCATATAGAACTGGGGTACAGGCTAGAGGAGCAAGGGTGGTAAGAAGATTCACCAGAGACAGAGTGGGGAGCAGAACAGGCAGATCAACAAAATACACTACGGAGAGGAGCAGAGGGTGAGACAGGAGAGGTCTGCTGCGCCATGTGGATCACCTCTGGGGCCTGCCCACTGAAGTGACAGTGGCTTACTTGCAGTGCTATGTCCTAACCCGTTGTGCCACCAGGGAAGGCCTGAAAGAATAGATCTTATTTATTTGATCATTGTAAGAATTTAATAAGCTAGGAATTATAATAACTCCATTTCACAGATTAAGAAGTAGAAAAAGGACCCTCCCTGGTGGCGCAGTGGGTTAAAGCACTGCACTAAGAAGCTAAAGCCACTTTAACATGAGTTCGATCCCCACCTGCCCCGGAGGAGATCCACATGGTGTGGCAGACCTCTCCTGACCCGCCTGCTGCTCCCCTCAGCAGTGTACTTCGTTGATCTGCCTGTTTTACTCCC